AAAAGAAAATATATATAAAAAAATCAAATAAAATGGTATGTAGCTGTGTACAAATTAATACATTGTACATGTATTTGTATATGGTATTTTGATTTTTCAGTCATTTGTTGAACACTTAAACAATGCACACTGTTCCACTGGACAGGGGTACACCAAAGTTGAAAATCTTTCGGAGGGAGTGGCCTACGATATCATTGACTGTAAATTAAAGCATACAGAGTTTGGAGATAAAATTGCCTTATACTTAAAGGAGAGGGATGGAAAATGTCTTTGGATATTCCTTCCTAAAATCTATGTACAAAAATTTTCGACCAAAAATCCTTATAAAAAACTGAAGGAAAACGGAATACTCCAAATTGTATATAAAGGAAAAGAGAAGACCAGATATAGTCCCGCGCGTTTTGAATTCATATGTAAAAACGAAGGCGATGAAACAAACAAAAAAATATAAGCAGTTGTAACGACGCGTTGCGCAGCAACCAGCTGTGCGTCATTACGATGCCAAGTAGTTGTAAATTAATAAGTAATTGTAAGAATAGTAAGCCATGAAGGCGAGTAATTTTAAGTTCGGTTTAGGTTAGTTCACTTCTGGTTCTTGGCTCATGCCCAACGCGCACTGAAGCGCTCTGTATGTTGTTTTACAATTAAAGAAACACGTGGAGAAGTTTGGGCATACCGCCCTCTTTTATTTGGTGGACACCTCGGCACTTTGGGGTGCCTAATTTATTTCAGCATACTCTGGCCGGCGAGCATACCCGCGGCAGAGTAACAACGTTACAAGTGGCGCCCGAGCAGGGACCCCAAAGAAGTTTGAGGTTAGATCCGACCAAGTAGGGAAGAGAGCGTGGACCTACGATGCTACGAACGAGCTGGATACGTGGGCTGCGGAAGGAAGAGCTCAGCACGGTGCTGCGCGAGTTCGACATCGAGGAGACCGGCACCGTGGAGGCGTTGCGGGTGCGGCTGGCAACGTTCGTGAAGTCGGCCCAAGAAGAGTACCGACCCCGCCTGGAAGAACTAGCGGCATATTACGAGAACATGTCGTCGCGTATCGCGGCGACAGGTCAGCTGAGCCCGGTGCCCGGCGGACGGCTGGGAGTCCCGAAACAAGAGGACGTACCGGAGGGGCTGCTCGTCGTGACAGAGGCAAACACGACACCGCTAACTCCTGCGACAGTGCCGACCATTTCGGTAGCGGTCGCGGGAGCTACCACAACCGAGCCCACGGCAGCCTCAGCGACGCCAACAGTGGCTCCAGTGCTCTCAACGGCGGACCTGACACAAGCGATTGCCGAGTTGGCTCAGTACACCCACCGGTTGGCCCAGGCTATGGAGGATGGTTTCCAGAAGCTGTCGAGCCAGGTCTGCGGTTCCACCGCGCCTGCTGGTAATGTGCCTGACGAAGATGACCCAACAGCACCGACTCCAGCGTCATCGCTCGCAAGCGCGCAGGCGGTGGCAGAACCACAGGCGCCAACATCAGCCGTGTCAACCGCATCCGCGGCTGGTTCGGCCCACTCGACAATGTCACGAGCGGAGCGGAGAGCCCTGAGCACGGAGGTGGCACAGTGGGGAGTACGTTTTGACGGCAGCGGGGACCCAAGAACGTTCCTCCGGGATCTGGAAGATGAGGCAGAGATGAGGAACGTGCGATTAGATGAGTTGGTGACCGTGTTACCGGAAGTCCTGGTTGGCGAGGCGAAGGAGTGGGAGTGGTCAAGGCGCAATTTGGCACAACGGTGGGCCGAGTTCCGCCAAGACCTACTAAAAGAATATCCAGCGGGTCCCCACATAGAAGAGCGCCGGCGGGAAGCATACAGCCGGGTCCAGGGCGCATCAGAGGGCCCTATCGAGTATGTCCGAGCGATGCAACGACTGATGCGCGGCGCGGAGATGACTGCAGAGGAGCAGCTGAGACTTGTCCACGCCAACGGGCTACCAGAAATACGCGCCAATCTCCGCCTGGCAGGCGAAGAAGTAAGCTCACTCGATGGGTACGTACAGGCGGCACAGGGCGTGCTCCAAGGAATCCTAGCACGGTCACAGGCGGCCGGCAATGATGAGACGAACGCCACACACCCTACGCCGTTCCCACAGCCGGTGGCGGTTGGCCCAGCGGACACGCATCGTCGCCCACCCATCTGCAGACGTTGCGGGATGGGAGGGCACAGTATGGACGCGTGCCCAAACTCTCAACAGCTCTACTGTTGGGACTGTGGTAAGATGGGGGTGCGTGCGAACGAATGCTGCCGACGCGCGACGGGAAACGCCAGGGGGGGCTCGTCCCACATCAACAGTCGGCGAGCCCACGCAGGCAGATTCCAATTAACAACGACACGCAGGGTAGCGGCCGCGCTACCAGTAGACTGCGATGGTGTACTGGTAGAGGCGGTCGTGGACACCGGAGCGACACGCAGCTTCGCGAGTCCGATGCTGGCGCAACGCCTGCGGGCGCCAGACGGAGGAAATGTACGGTCCGTGAGCGTGACTGTGTCCATGGCTGACGGGACACAGAAGACGGTCCGTGAAGAAACGAAGGCGACGGTCACGGTGGGCGACAGTCGCGTAGTACTGCCGCTGCTCACACTCCCCGGATGCATAGATGAGCTCACATTGGGACTGGATTATGTCCAAATGGCCAACGGGGCGGTGACTGTGGGCGGCCAAACTGTAGAATTGCGAACAAACGATCCACGGCCACGCAGACGGCGGAGGCGAAATCGCAGAGCCCGACATGCAGCCTTGGTGACAAGCGAGGATCAGGCACGCCAGTACAATCTGCGGAGACGCGAGTGGCGACCCAGACTGGGCGACGAGGTGCTCGTGCGACAACATCACCTGTCCAACGCAGCCGAGCAGTTTGCGGCCAAGCTGGCGCCTCGCTTCGATGGCCCATTCACGGTACGAGCATTCATATCCCCAGTTATAGTGCGTGTGCGACCGGTGGCGGGCGGCAGAGGTAGAACGGCACATGTGCGGGATCTAAAAGCGGTGAACGCAGAAGACAGCGAAGCTGACGAAGGCAACGACGACAGAGGCAGCGTTAGTATGGTCACCAGGGCCACGCCACCGACAGCTTCACAGCAGCCACAGCAGGCCACTCCTCAGCGTCAACAAAAGCAGCCACAGCGGCAGTCCGGGCATCAAAATCGGCCATATCAACGAGCACGACGACAGCAGCCACGGTCACGACAGCAGCAACAGCAACCAGGGCTTCGTAGCAGCCACACCGACAACATCAACGGCAACACCACCGGCGTCCACCAAAGCGGGAACAGCAAAGCTGCTGTTCTAGCCGAAGAAGATGCCCATGTAAGCCTACAAACATAATTAAACGCAGTTTGCTGTTACGTTTCAGGCCATGTGAAGCGATGTAGATTACCGCACCGCCTGAGATACACACTCAGCGCCGAATATACCAGAGACGCAGCAGATGGGCGGTATGCTAATTCCATTGGCGATCCCTAAACAGCTACGGCAACAGCAGCCAGTCCCACAGCAGCCACTACAGCACCCATTACAGAATCCAGAGGATGACGACACGGCGGAAATGCAGAAAACAACAATGCGACCGAATGACAGAGCGAACAGCTGACGGTGAAGGTACAGGTGGCGTTGACAGGTGGCCAAGCGCGAGGGGTGGCAGCGCTGCCACCCAGCTGCTACACATCTGCCGTTCGATTATGGCGCGGTGAAGGAAAATTCGAAAACACTACCGATCGGGCCGTTCGACCCCTTGGGGAAAGGGGGAGGTGTAACGACGCGTTGCGCAGCAACCAGCTGTGCGTCATTACGATGCCAAGTAGTTGTAAATTAATAAGTAATTGTAAGAATAGTAAGCCATGAAGGCGAGTAATTTTAAGTTCGGTTTAGGTTAGTTCACTTCTGGTTCTTGGCTCATGCCCAACGCGCACTGAAGCGCTCTGTATGTTGTTTTACAATTAAAGAAACACGTGGAGAAGTTTGGGCATACCGCCCTCTTTTATTTGGTGGACACCTCGGCACTTTGGGGTGCCTAATTTATTTCAGCATACTCTGGCCGGCGAGCATACCCGCGGCAGAGTAACAACGTTACACAGTATGCACATAAATGCAAGTATAAAGGAGGATATTGTATTGCATCAAAATCATAGTCTTATTCTGATCGCCAGCATCTCCACTACACAAAAATTAGCAGCAAAATAAAAAAAAACTTTTGAACAAATAATTATGAACTTCTATAAAATGGTGACAAAACAAATCGAAGTATTTCTAAATCAGTTCCAGGACATGATTTTCGATTAACATTATAAGCGACTGGAAAATCTAAAACAGATGCTTGATGAAATGAATCGATCTCGATTCATAACCTCCCGCTTTGGAACACATTTGGAAACATGTCCCTGGTCAAATGATAAGGTAGACGCTGGACCAGACACTTGCTTTTGTCATGCTGCTCCACTTTTAACGAAAGAGGCTGTGAATCTAATGGATCGTTATTATAAGCTCACAGCTCGGTGCATAAAAAAAGAATAAAATAAATTCATATCGTTAAACTAAAATAACATTTATTGTTTCATTTCTCTTTTCTTAAAACTAGCATTAAATAATTTTAAAATAAATCTATCATTAAAACTGTAATCAGTTTTCTTAAATTTATTTAGTAATGTAGTAGGATAAGTAGATACATAAGAACTCTGGCAACCAATCAGCTGTTTTCCCGATCTCGCTGTACCCTGTAGCTCGAGCAATTCGCTCGAGCTCAGTCTCTGACGAGTCACCGAATAAAGATGACGTCTTTTGTAATTGTGCAGTGTTGTGTTCTCTACTACGTTTTGCCTTCCACAAACTCAGAAGTGGGATTAACGCCATGAACAGTACCAATTTCAACATTTTTTCGGTCACCCAATTAAAAAGGTGGCTAACCGTCCTTGGTTTGCCGACAAGTGGCACGAAGGCGGAACTAATGGCTCGTCTTGGCCAGATTTCTCCGGAGCTCCTCGGCGACGCTCCAACTGCAGACACAGACTACATTTCCGAGGGCTCCGGCGATGAGCAAGCCCAAGTCTTACAGGCCGAGTGCAACGGCTACTTGGAGCAGCAGCAAGAACCGAGCGTCGTCTGCCAGCCGCAGCATGACAACCAAGATGGCGTGACCACGGCGTCGCATGACCTTCTAGAAATTATAAAGAATTTGCAAGCAGAAGTAAATGCGAACAAAATGTTGCTGTTACAATTTCGAACGGAGGCAGGCAAAAATATGACGCGTCAAGCGGCGAGCCATAGCAACGCCAGCAACATCCAAAGGGACGGCATAGCAAGCAACGACGACGCCAGTAACGGTAAAACTACCAGTGAAGATGGCAATAGCGACAGAGCAGCCGACGCTGACACCGATAACGGCAACACACACAACGTCGACGTCAGCAGCAGCTTAAACACCAACGAAATGGAGATGCAACGAGTGAGCGAATACGAAAGATGCCAGACAGTGAAAAATATATCAACTGCATTCGCTTTCGCAAAAGAAGCTTCTGTTGAATTTGATGGCAACTCTTGTGCGCGCATTTGGGTAAATCAGCTCAAGAACATCGCCCAGATTTACAAATTAGATGATTGCAGTCTTCGCATGTTGTTCATTGCCAAGGTGAAGGGAAACGCTCAACGCTGGCTACATTCAAATTCAACACGTATGCTTCAGCCCATAAATAGGCTTTGCGATCAGCTAATTATGGCTTTTGGAGAGGAAACATCAAAATCAGAAATAAGACGCAAATTTGAGCAGCGCAAATGGCACCAAGACGAGAGGTTTGCCATGTACATGGAGGAAAAATTGGTGCTGGCGCAGTCCATCAACGTCGATACAGATGAGCTTATGGAGCAAATCATCAAAGGCATCCCATCAAAGAGCTTGCGCGATCAGGCTCGCATACAACGCTTCACTGGGCCGGAGGAGTTGCAGAAGGCATTCGCCAACGTGCGCCTCTCAAAACAGGTACCAGCAGGTGGCGCAAACAGGGAGACATCGTCCATGTCTGGGGCCAGCTACGATTCGCGCTGCCGAAACTGCAACTCAAAGGGTCATTTTGCCAGAGATTGCCGCAAGCCAAAGCGGACAGCCGGATCATGTTTCGCTTGCGGTCAGATGGGTCATTTTGTGGCGCAGTGATCGCAGAAGAAGAGTTTGAGCGATAATAAATATGTAAGGTATTTTAAAATACACTTTTTAAATAATATTAAATATGCCCTCATTACAGAATGCCTCATAGACTCTGGTAGCGCCATTTCTTTTGTAAAAAGGCCATGCATACCAAATGAAATTTCTTTAGATTTAGTTTATAATTCATACTTTGGGCTGAATAAAAGCCAGTTAAATGTCTTTGGAAAGATTTCTTGCTTTATGTTTAAAGGATTACTGAAAATAAATTTTGATTTAATTGTTGTTGCGAACGAGTCTATGAGTCATGATGTTGTATTGGGCAGGAATTTTATGAATGCGATGGATTTGAATATTAGTCCAGACACCCTTGCAACTATTGAATTAAAAAAAATACATGTAACGAATACGGGGTTATCGAGAGACAATGAAAATGTTGGTTCGGCATACAAAGCAGAAAATCCATGCGTTTCGAAACTTTTTTCAAATGAAGCTGATCAGCGAGCAGCGGCCCCTATAAAAATCGAAAGAGAAGCAAAGAAAATATCAAATCAAGCGGTTAGCAATATTAATGATAGGCAACATAGATGTAAAAGAATGTTACGGGATGAGACGTTTAATGGAAAATTAATATGGGATGAGACTGTAGAAGACCAATTGTTACGTAATAAAACTGCTAGTAGGGGACTGTTAGATGCTAAGACTGTTAAAGATCAAATTTTGGGAAATAAAACTGTTGCTGAACAATTGTCAGGCGTTGAATCGGTTAATGAGCTAATTTATGAAACTGACAATGCAGGCGTATCCATGATGGATAGCTTTGAGAAAGATATGTTTAATATTAACATAGTCGACAATCAAATGACAGATTACAACTGCGGTGAAAATGTAGATCTCGAAACAAAAGGTCGGTTTGTCAAAATGTTCGAAGAGACTTATTTAAATGCAAAAAAGCCAAATTTCCCGATGATTAGGAGTGAAATGAAAATTTGTTTGGAAAACTCAAAACCTTTTAGATGTTCACCAAGACGGCTCTCTTACTCAGAGAAAGAAAAACTCCAGGCTATGCTAGACGAGTATTTAGAAGGGGGAATAATCCGGCCAAGCGAATCGGAGTATGCTTCACCCATTGTGTTAGTTAAAAAGAAGACGGGCGATTTACGACTATGCATTGATTTTCGTAAATTGAATAAAGTGCTAATAAAGGACAACTATCCAATGCCATTAATAGACGATTTATTAGATAGGCTCCTAAATAAAACCATATTTTCAAAATTAGACCTTAAAAATGGGTATTTCCATGTTTTTGTTAATGAAGAATCGGTGAAATATACATCCTTTGTAACTCCACTAGGCCAATATGAGTTCCTAAGAATGCCAATTGGGATAAAGAATGCGTCAGCCGTATTCCAGCGTTTTGTGAACAAGATTTTTGATGATTTAATTAGAGAAAGTAAGGTTATTGTCTATATGGATGACATCATGGTGGCGAGCACAAACATGAAGGAACACTTAAATACACTGGGGGAAGTTTTCACACGATTAGTTCAAAACACACTAAAATTACGGATGGATAAATGCGAGTTTATGCAATCGAGTATAAAATATTTAGGCTTTCGCATATCAAGTAAAGGCATAAGGGCAGAAGACAAAGGTTTAGATGCGATTAAAAATTTTCCAGTTCCTGATAAGGTGCAAACAGTCCAAAGCTTTCTTGGCTTGTGTTCATACTTCAGGCGTTTTATTAAAGATTTCTCGGTTTTAGCCAAGCCACTATATGATCTTTTGAGAAAAGACAAACCATTTTCATTCGAGGAAAAAGAATTAGAATGTTTTTTAACTCTTAAGGACAAATTAATGCAGTCTCCTATTTTAGCCATTTACGATTATAAGGAGGAAGTCGAATTACATTGCGATGGAAGTTCATTAGGTTTCGGAGCGGTACTCATGCAGAAAAAAAGCGATGGGAAAACGCATCCAATATTTTATTTTTCTAAGCGTACAACAGAGACAGAGTCAAAATATCATAGTTTCGAGCTAGAGACATTGGCGATAATTTATGCCATACGGAGATTTCGAATTTACCTACACGGGAAACGATTCAAAATAGTCACAGATTGCAACTCTTTAACCCTTACATTGAACAAGGTTGATTTAAATCCTAGAATCGCTAGATGGGCATTGGAACTGCAAAACTACGATTATGAGCTAGTTCACAGAGCCGGGAGTAGAATGCAACATGTAGACGCGTTAAGCAGATGCACAAATATTTTGGTAGTGGAGACAAATAGTTTTGAGGACAATCTTGTTATCTGTCAAGCAAGAGACCCAAAAATACAAACGATTAAAAAAATTTTAGAGAAAAATGAGCACAAAATGTACGAGATGAGAAACGGGATTGTTTATAGGAAAACAAACGACGATAGGTTACTCTTTTACGTACCGGGAGATATGGAAAGCCATGTACTGCACAAATATCATAATGAACTGGGCCATATTGGCAGGGACAAAATGATGGACATTATTTCGAGAAGTTATTGGTTCGCAAATCTTAAGGAAAAGTGCAGCAATCATATTGAAAATTGTCTGAAGTGTGTGGCATTTTCGCCAAAGAGTGGAAAAACGGAGGGACTTTTACATAGCATACCAAAAGGGGATAAACCATTCCAGTTAATACATATTGATCATTACGGACCAGTAGCTACAGGCAGGGCAAATAAACATATTTTCTTGATTGTAGATGGGTTCACGAAATTCGTTAGACTATACACAACGAAAACAACGAATACAAAAGAGGTCATGAAAGCGTTAAGAGATTATTTTAGAGCATATAGCAGACCGAAATGCATAGTTTCTGACAGGGGTAGTTGTTTTACGTCCAAAGAGTTTGAAGAGTTTCTGACTGGTTTGAATATTAAACATATTATGATAGCGACTGGATCTCCAAAGGCAAATGGACAAGTTGAACGGATAAACAGGAGTTTAGGTCCAATGATTTCGAAGTTGACTGAACCAGATAAGGGCAGACATTGGGACTCAGTAGTCGAACAAGTTGAATACTCCCTTAACAACACACTCCATCGTAGCATTAAACAGATTCCAAGTAAGGTATTGTTCGGCGTAGAGCAGAAAGGTGATATATTAGACGAGCTCAGAGAAAAGTTGGAAGAAGTTAACAATACGGTTTATAAAGGCAGTTCCAAAAGAATCAGAAATGAAGTTAAAGAAACCCAAAAACGTTCACAGTCGTACAATGAATTATATTATAACAAGTCGAAGAGAAAACCGCGAAGCTATAAAAAGGGAGACTACGTAATGGTAAAAAATTTCGATTGCACGGTAGGGGCTGCTAGAAAGCTGATTCCCAAAAACAAAGGACCATATGAAATAGCAAAAGTGTTGCGAAACGACAGGTTTCTGTTAAAAGATGTAGAGAATTTTCAAGTTTCTCGAAACCCATACAAGGGTGTTTGGAGTGTTCAAAACATACGACACTGGATAGGGAAAAGAAAATAATTTAAGAATATTGTATAATATCGTCAATAAATTTAGACATTAAGACACATATTGTAAAATTTAGATATAAGAAAATTCTGAAATTGTACATAAATTTAAGAAAATGTAACACACCGGGATCAGGAGATCCGGCTGTCAGGATGGCCGAGTTGTAGTAGGATAAGTAGATACATCAGAACTCTGGCAACCCTATCAGCTGTTTTCCCGATCTCGCTGTACCCTGTAGCTCGAGCAATTCGCTCGAGCTCAGTCTCTGACGAGTCACCGAATAAAGAAGACGTCTTTTGTAATTGTGCAGTGTTGTGTTCTCTACTACGTTTTGCCTTCCACAAACTCAGAAGTGGGATTAACGCCATGAACAGTACCAATTTCAACATTTTTTCGGTCACCCAATTAAAAAGGTGGCTAACCGTCCTTGGTTTGCCGACAAGTGGCACGAAGGCGGAACTAATGGCTCGTCTTGGCCAGATTTCTCCGGAGCTCCTCGGCGACGCTCCAACTGCAGACACAGACTACATTTCCGAGGGCTCCGGCGATGAGCAAGCCCAAGTCTTACAGGCCGAGTGCAGCGTCTACTTGGAGCAGCAGCAAGAACCGAGCGTCGTCTGCCAGCCGCAGCATGACAACCAAGATGGCGTGACCACGGCGTCGCATGACCTTCTAGAAATTATAAAGAATTTGCAAGCAGAAGTAAATGCGAACAAAATGTTGCTGTTACAATTTCGAACGGAGGCAGGCAAAAATATGACGCGTCAAGCGGCGAGCCATAGCAACGCCAGCAACATCCAAAGGGACGGCATAGCAAGCAACGACGACGCCAGTAACGGTAAAACTACCAGTGAAGATGGCAATAGCGACAGAGCAGCCGACGCTGACACCGATAACGGCAACACACACAACGTCGACGTCAGCAGCAGCTTAAACACCAACGAAATGGAGATGCAACGAGTGAGCGAATACGAAAGATGCCAGACAGTGAAAAATATATCAACTGCATTCGCTTTCGCAAAAGAAGCTTCTGTTGAATTTGATGGCAACTCTTGTGCGCGCATTTGGGTAAATCAGCTCAAGAACATCGCCCAGATTTACAAATTAGATGATTGCAGTCTTCGTATGTTGTTCATTGCCAAGGTGAAGGGAAACGCTCAACGCTGGCTACATTCAAATTCAACACGTATGCTTCAGCCCATAAATAGGCTTTGCGATCAGCTAATTATGGCTTTTGGAGAGGAAACATCAAAATCAGAAATAAGACGCAAATTTGAGCAGCGCAAATGGCGCCAAGACGAGAGGTTTGCCATGTACATGGAGGAAAAATTGGTGCTGGCGCAGTCCATCAACGTCGATACAGATGAGCTTATGGAGCAAATCATCAAAGGCATCCCATCAAAGAGCTTGCGCGATCAGGCTCGCATACAACGCTTCACTGGGCCGGAGGAGTTGCAGAAGGCATTCGCCAACGTGCGCCTCTCAAAACAGGTACCAGCAGGTGGCGCAAACAGGGAGACATCGTCCATGTCTGGGGCCAGCTACGATTCGCGCTGCCGAAACTGCAACTCAAAGGGTCATTTTGCCAGAGATTGCCGCAAGCCAAAGCGGACAGCCGGATCATGTTTCGCTTGCGGTCAGATGGGTCATTTTGTGGCGCAGTGATCGCAGAAGAAGAGTTTGAGCGATAATAAATATGTAAGGTATTTTAAAATACACTTTTTAAATAATATTAAATATGCCCTCATTACAGAATGCCTCATAGACTCTGGTAGCGCCATTTCTTTTGTAAAAAGGTCATGCATACCAAATGAAATTTCTTTAGATTTAGTTTATAATTCATACTTTGGGCTGAATAAAAGCCAGTTAAATGTCTTTGGAAAGATTTCTTGCTTTATGTTTAAAGGATTACTGAAAATAAATTTTGATTTAATTGTTGTTGCGAACGAGTCTATGAGTCATGATGTTGTATTGGGCAGGGATTTTATGAATGCGATGGATTTGAATATTAGTCCAGACACCCTTGCAACTATTGAATTAAAAAAAATACATGTAACGAATACGGGGTTATCGAGAGACAATGAAAATGTTGGTTCGGCATACAAAGCAGAAAATCCATGCGTTTCGAAACTTTTTTCGAATGAAGCTGATCAGCGAGTAGCGGCCCCTATAAAAATCGAAAGAGAAGCAAAGAAAATATCAAATCAAGCGGTTAGCAATATTAATGATAGGCAACATAGATGTAAAAGAATGTTACGGGATGAGACGTTTAATGGAAAATTAATATGGGATGAGACTGTAGAAGACCAATTGTTACGTAATAAAACTGCTAGTAGGGGACTGTTAGATGCTAAGACTGTTAAAGATCAAATTTTGGGAAATAAAACTGTTGCTGAACAATTGTCAGGCGTTGAATCGGTTAATGAGCTAATTTATGAAACTGACAATGCAGGCGTATCCATGATGGATAGCTTTGAGAAAGATATGTTTAATATTAACATAGTCGACAATCAAATGACAGATTACAACTGCGGTGAAAATGTAGATCTCGAAACAAAGGGTCGGTTTGTCAAAATGTTCGAAGAGACTTATTTAAATGCAAAAAAGCCAAATTTCCCGATGATTAGGAGTGAAATGAAAATTTGTTTGGAAAACTCAAAACCTTTTAGATGTTCACCAAGACGGCTCTCTTACTCAGAGAAAGAAAAACTCCAGGCTATGCTAGACGAGTATTTAGAAGGGGGAATAATCCGGCCAAGCGAATCGGAGTATGCTTCACCCATTGTGTTAGTTAAAAAGAAGACGGGCGATTTACGACTATGCATTGATTTTCGTAAATTGAATAAAGTGCTAATAAAGGACAACTATCCAATGCCATTAATAGACGATTTATTAGATAGGCTCCTAAATAAAACCATATTTTCAAAATTAGACCTTAAAAATGGGTATTTCCATGTTTTTGTTAATGAAGAATCGGTGAAATATACATCCTTTGTAACTCCACTAGGCCAATATGAGTTCCTAAGAATGCCAATTGGGATAAAGAATGCGTCAGCCGTATTCCAGCGTTTTGTGAACAAGATTTTTGATGATTTAATTAGAGAAAGTAAGGTTATTGTCTATATGGATGACATCATGGTGGCGAGCACAAACATGAAGGAACACTTAAATACACTGGGGGAAGTTTTCACACGATTAGTTCAAAACACACTAAAATTACGGATGGATAAATGCGAGTTTATGCAATCGAGTATAAAATATTTAGGCTTTCGCATATCAAGTAAAGGCATAAGGGCAGAAGACAAAGGTTTAGATGCGATTAAAAATTTTCCAGTTCCTGATAAGGTGCAAACAGTCCAAAGCTTTCTTGGCTTGTGTTCATACTTCAGGCGTTTTATTAAAGATTTCTCGGTTTTAGCCAAGCCACTATATGATCTTTTGAGAAAAGACAAACCATTTTCATTCGAGGAAAAAGAATTAGAATGTTTTTTAACTCTTAAGGAAAAATTAATGCAGTCTCCTATTTTAGCCATTTACGATTATAAGGAGGAAGTCGAATTACATTGCGATGGAAGTTCATTAGGTTTCGGAGCGGTACTCATGCAGAAAAAAAGCGATGGGAAAACGCATCCAATATTTTATTTTTCTAAGCGTACAACAGAGACAGAGTCAAAATATCATAGTTTCGAGCTAGAGACATTGGCGATAATTTATGCCATACGGAGATTTCGAATTTACCTACACGGGAAACGATTCAAAATAGTCACAGATTGCAACTCTTTAACCCTTACATTGAACAAGGTTGATTTAAATCCTAGAATCGCTAGATGGGCATTGGAACTGCAAAACTACGATTATGAGCTAGTTCACAGAGCCGGGAGTAGAATGCAACATGTAGACGCGTTAAGCAGATGCACAAATATTTTGGTAGTGGAGACAAATAGTTTTGAGGACAATCTTGTTATCTGTCAAGCAAGAGACCCAAAAATACAAACGATTAAAAAAATTTTAGAGAAAAATGAGCACAAAATGTACGAGATGAGAAACGGGATTGTTTATAGGAAAACAAACGACGATAGGTTACTCTTTTACGTACCGGGAGATATGGAAAGCCATGTACTGCACAAATATCATAATGAACTGGGCCATATTGGCAGGGACAAAATGATGGACATTATTTCGAGAAGTTATTGGTTCGCAAATCTTAAGGAAAAGTGCAGCAATCATATTGAAAATTGTCTGAAGTGTGTGGCATTTTCGCCAAAGAGTGGAAAAACGGAGGGACTTTTACATAGCATACCAAAAGGGGATAAACCATTCCAGTTAATACATATTGATCATTACGGACCAGTAGCTACAGGCAGGGCAAATAAACATATTTTCTTGATTGTAGATGGGTTCACGAAATTCGTTAGACTATACACAACGAAAACAACGAATACAAAAGAGGTCATGAAAGCGTTCAGAGATTATTTTAGAGCATATAGCAGACCGAAATGCATAGTTTCTGACAGGGGTAGTTGTTTTACGTCCAAAGAGTTTGAAGAGTTTCTGACTGGTTTGAATATTAAACATATTATGATAGCGACTGGATCTCCACAGGCAAATGGACAAGTTGAACGGATAAACAGGAGTTTAGGTCCAATGATTTCGAAGTTGACTGAACCAGATAAGGGCAGACATTGGGACTCAGTAGTCGAACAAGTTGAATACTCCCTTAACAACACACTCCATCGTAGCATTAAACAGATTCCAAGTAAGGTATTGTTCGGCGTAGAGCAGAAAGGTGATATATTAGACGAGCTCAGAGAAAAGTTGGAAGAAGTTAACAATACGGTTTATAAAGGCAGTTCCAAAAGAATCAGAAATGAAGTTAAAGAAACCCAAAAACGTTCACAGTCGTACAATGAATTATATTATAACAAGTCGAAGAGAAAACCGCGAAGCTATAAAAAGGGAGACTACGTAATGGTAAAAAATTTCGATTGCACGGTAGGGGCTGCTAGAAAGCTGATTCCCAAAAACAAAGGACCATATGAAATAGCAAAAGTGTTGCGAAACGACAGGTTTCTGTTAAAAGATGTAGAGAATTTTCAAGTTTCTCGAAACCCATACAAGGGTGTTTGGAGTGTTCAAAACATACGACACTGGATAGGGAAAAGAAAATAATTTAAGAATATTGTATAATATCGTCAATAAATTTAGACATTAAGACACATATTGTAAAATTTAGATATAAGAAAATTCTGAAATTGTACATAAATTTAAGAAAATGTAACACACCGGGATCAGGAGATCCGGCTGTCAGGATGGCCGAGTTGTAGTAGGATAAGTAGATACATCAGAACTCTGGCAACCCTATCAGCTGTTTTCCCGATCTCGCTGTACCCTGTAGCTCGAGCAATTCGCTCGAGCTCAGTCTCTGACGAGTCACCGAATAAAGAAGACGTCTTTTGTAATTGTGCAGTGTTGTGTTCTCTACTACGTTTTGCCTTCCACAAACTCAGAAGTGGGATTAACGCCATGAACAGTACCAATTTCAACATTTTTTCGGTCACCCAATTAAAAAGGTGGCTAACCGTCCTTGGTTTGCCGACAAGTGGCACGAAGGCGGAACTAATGGCTCGTCTTGGCCAGATTTCTCCGGAGCTCCTCGGCGACGCTCCAACTGCAGACACAGACTACATTTCCGAGGGCTCCGGCGATGAGCAAGCCCAAGTCTTACAGGCCGAGTGCAGCGTCTACTTGGAGCAGCAGCAAGAACCGAGCGTCGTCTGCCAGCCGCAGCATGACAACCAAGATGGCGTGACCACGGCGTCGCATGACCTTCTAGAAATTATAAAGAATTTGCAAGCAGAAGTAAATGCGAACAAAATGTTGCTGTTACAATTTCGAACGGAGGCAGGCAAAAATATGACGCGTCAAGCGGCGAGCCATAGCAACGCCAGCAACATCCAAAGGGACGGCATAGCAAGCAACGACGACGCCAGTAACGGTAAAACTACCAGTGAAGATGGCAATAGCGACAGAGCAGCCGACGCTGACACCGATAACGGCAACACACACAACGTCGACGTCAGCAGCAGCTTAAACACCAACGAAATGGAGATGCAACGAGTGAGCGAATACGAAAGATGCCAGACAGTGAAAAATATATCAACTGCATTCGCTTTCGCAAAAGAAGCTTCTGTTGAATTTGATGGCAACTCTTGTGCGCGCATTTGGGTAAATCAGCTCAAGAACATCGCCCAGATTTACAAATTCGAATGAAGCTGATCAGCGAGTAGCGGCCCCTATAAAAATCGAAAGAGAAGCAAAGAAAATATCAAATCAAGCGGTTAGCAATATTAATGATAGGCAACATAGATGTAAAAGAATGTTACGGGATGAGACGTTTAATGGAAAATTAATATGGGATGAGACTGTAGAAGACCAATTGTTACGTAATAAAACTGCTAGTAGGGGACTGTTAGATGCTAAGACTGTTAAAGATCAAATTTTGGGAAATAAAACTGTTGCTGAACAATTGTCAGGCGTTGAATCGGTTAATGAGCTAATTTATGAAACTGACAATGCAGGCGTATCCATGATGGATAGCTTTGAGAAAGATATGTTTAATATTAACATAGTCGACAATCAAATGACAGATTACAACTGCGGTGAAAATGTAGATCTCGAAACAAAGGGTCGGTTTGTCAAAATGTTCGAAGAGACTTATTTAAATGCAAAAAAGCCAAATTTCCCGATGATTAGGAGTGAAATGAAAATTTGTTTGGAAAACTCAAAACCTTTTAGATGTTCACCAAGACGGCTCTCTTACTCAGAGAAAGAAAAACTCCAGGCTATGCTAGACGAGTATTTAGAAGGGGGAATAATCCGGCCAAGCGAATCGGAGTATGCTTCACCCATTGTGTTAGTTAAAAAGAAGACGGGCGATTTACGACTATGCATTGATTTTCGTAAATTGAATAAAGTGCTAATAAAGGACAACTATCCAATGCCATTAATAGACGATTTATTAGATAGGCTCCTAAATAAAACCATATTTTCAAAATTAGACCTTAAAAATGGGTATATCCATGTTTTTGTTAATGAAGAATCGGTGAAATATACATCCTTTGTAACTCCACTAGGCCAATATGAGTTCCTAAGAATGCCAATTGGGATAAAGAATGCGTCAGCCGTATTCCAGCGTTTTGTGAACAAGATTTTTGATGATTTAATTAGAGAAAGTAAGGTTATTGTCTATATGGATGACATCATGGTGGCGAGCACAAACATGAAGGAACACTTAAATACACTGGGGGAAGTTTTCACACGATTAGTTCAAAACAAACTAGAATTACGGATGGATAAATGCGAGCTTATGCAATCGAGTATAAAATATTTAGGCTTTCGCATATCAAGTAAAGGCATAAGGGCAGAAGACAAAGGTTTAGATGCGATTAAAAATTTTCCAGTTCCTGATAAGGTGCAAACAGTCCAAAGCTTTCTTGGCTTGTGTTCATACTTCAGGCGTTTTATTAAAGATTTCTCGGTTTTAGCCAAGCCACTATATGATCTTTTGAGAAAAGACAAACCATTTTCATTCGAGGAAAAAGAATTAGAATGTTTTTTAACTCTTAAGGACAAATTAATGCAGTCTCCTATTTTAGCCATTTACGATTATAAGGAGGAAGTCGAATTACATTGCGATGGAAGTTCATTAGGTTTCGGAGCGGTACTCATGCAGAAAAAAAGCGATGGGAAAACGCATCCAATATTTTATTTTTCTAAGCGTACAACAGAGACAGAGTCAAAATATCATAGTTTCGAGCTAGAGACATTGGCGATAATTTATGCCATACGGAGATTTCGAATTTACCTACACGGGAAACGATTCAAAATAGTCACAGATTGCAACTCTTTAACCCTTACATTGAACAAGGTTGATTTAAATCCTAGAATCGCTAGATGGGCATTGGAACTGCAAAACTACGATTATGAGCTAGTTCACAGAGCCGGGAGTAGAATGCAACATGTAGACGCGTTAAGCAGATGCACAAATATTTTGGTAGTGGAGACAAATAGTTTTGAGGACAATCTTGTTATCTGTCAAGCAAGAGACCCAAAAATACAAACGATTAAAAAAATTTTAGAGAAAAATGAGCACAAAATGTACGAGATGAGAAACGGGATTGTTTATAGGAAAACAAACGACGATAGGTTACTCTTTTACGTACCGGGAGATATTGAAAGCCATGTACTGCACAAATATCATAATGAACTGGGCCATATTGTCAGGGACAAAATGATGGACATTATTTCGAGAAGTTATTGGTTCGCAAATCTTAAGGAAAAGTGCAGCAATCATATTGAAAATTGTCTGAAGTGTGTGGCATTTTCGCCAAAGAGTGGAAAAACGGAGGGACTTTTACATAGCATACCAAAAGGGGATAAACCATTCCAGTTAATACATATTGATCATTACGGACCAGTAGCTACAGGCAGGGCAAATAAACATATTTTCTTGATTGTAGATGGGTTCACGAAATTCGTTAGACTATACACAACGAAAACAACGAATACAAAAGAGGTCATGAAAGCGTTAAGAGATTATTTTAGAGCATATAGCAGACCGAAATGCATAGTTTCTGACAGGGGTAGTTGTTTTACGTCCAAAGAGTTTGAAGAGTTTCTGACTGGTTTGAATATTAAACATATTATGATAGCGACTGGATCTCCACAGGCAAATGGACAAGTTGAACGGATAAACAGGAGTTTAGGTCCAATGATTTCGAAGTTGACTGAACCAGATAAGGGCAGACATTGGGACTCAGTAGTCGAACAAGTTGAATACTCCCTTAACAACACACTCCATCGTAGCATTAAACAGATTCCAAGTAAGGTATTGTTCGGCGTAGAGCAGAAAGGTGATATATTAGACGAGCTCAGAGAAAAGTTGGAAGAAGTTAACAATACGGTTTATAAAGGCAGTTCCAAAAGAATCAGAAATGAAGTTAAAGAAACCCAAAAACGTTCACAGTCGTACAATGAATTATATTATAACAAGTCGAAGAGAAAACCGCGAAGCTATAAAAAGGGAGACTACGTAATGGTAAAAAATTTCGATTGCACGGTAGGGGCTGCTAGAAAGCTGATTCCCAAAAACAAAGGACCATATGAAATAGCAAAAGTGTTGCGAAACGACAGGTTTCTGTTAAAAGATATAGAGAATTTTCAAGTTTCTCGAAACCCATACAAGGGTGTTTGGAGTGTTCAAAACATACGACACTGGATAGGGAAAAGAAAATAATTTAAGAATATTGTATAATATCGTCAATAAATTTAGACATTAAGACACATATTGTAAAATTTAGATATAAGAAAATTCTGAAATTGTACATAAATTTAAGAAAATGTAACACACCGGGATCAGGAGATCCGGCTGTCAGGATGGCCGAGTTGTAGTAGGATAAGTAGATACATCAGAACTCTGGCAACCCTATCAGCTGTTTTCCCGATCTCGCTGTACCCTGTAGCTCGAGCAATTCGCTCGAGCTCAGTCTCTGACGAGTCACCGAATAAAGAAGACGTCTTTTGTAATTGTGCAGTGTTGTGTTCTCTACTACGTTTTGCCTTCCACAAACTCAGAAGTGGGATTAACGCCATGAACAGTACCAATTTCAACATTTTTTCGGTCACCCAATTAAAAAGGTGGCTAACCGTCCTTGGTTTGCCGACAAGTGGCACGAAGGCGGAACTAATGGCTCGTCTTGGCCAGATTTCTCCGGAGCTCCTCGGCGACGCTCCAACTGCAGACACAGACTACATTTCCGAGGGCTCCGGCGATGAGCAAGCCCAAGTCTTACAGGCCGAGTGCAGCGTCTACTTGGAGCAGCAGCAAGAACCGAGCGTCGTCTGCCAGCCGCAGCATGACAACCAAGATGGCGTGACCACGGCGTCGCATGACCTTCTAGAAATTATAAAGAATTTGCAAGCAGAAGTAAATGCGAACAAAATGTTGCTGTTACAATTTCGAACGGAGGCAGGCAAAAATATGACGCGTCAAGCGGCGAGCCATAGCAACGCCAGCAACATCCAAAGGGACGGCATAGCAAGCAACGACGACGCCAGTAACGGTAAAACTACCAGTGAAGATGGCAATAGCGACAGAGCAGCCGACGCTGACACCGATAACGGCAACACACACAACGTCGACGTCAGCAGCAGCTTAAACACCAACGAAATGGAGATGCAACGAGTGAGCGAATACGAAAGATGCCAGACAGTGAAAAATATATCAACTGCATTCGCTTTCGCAAAAGAAGCTTCTGTTGAATTTGATGGCAACTCTTGTGCGCGCATTTGAGTAAATCAGCTCAAGAACATCGCCCAGATTTACAAATTAGATGATTGCAGTCTTCGCATGTTGTTCATTGCCAAGGTGAAGGGAAACGCTCAACGCTGGCTACATTCAAATTCAACACGTATGCTTCAGCCCATAAATAGGCTTTGCGATCAGCTAATTATGGCTTTTGGAGAGGAAACATCAAAATCAGAAATAAGACGCAAATTTGAGCAGCGCAAATGGCACCAAGACGAGAGGTTTGCCATGTACATGGAGGAAAAATTGGTGCTGGCGCAGTCCATCAACGTCGATACAGATGAGCTTATGGAGCAAATCATCAAAGGCATCCCATCAAAGAGCTTGCGCGATCAGGCTCGCATACAACGCTTCACTGGGCCGGAGGAGTTGCAGAAGGCATTCGCCAACGTGCGCCTCTCAAAGCAGGTACCAGCAGGTGGCGCAAACAGGGAGACATCGTCCATGTCTGGGGCCAGCTACGATTCGCGCTGCCGAAACTGCAACTCAAAGGGTCATTTTGCCAGAGATTGCCGCAAGCCAAAGCGGACAGCCGGATCATGTTTCGCTTGCGGTCAGATGGGTCATTTTGTGGCGCAGTGATCGCAGAAGAAGAGTTTGAGCGATAATAAATATGTAAGGTATTTTAAAATACACTTTTTAAATAATATTAAATATGCCCTCATTACAGAATGCCTCATAGACTCTGGTAGCGCCATTTCTTTTGTAAAAAGGTCATGCATACCAAATGAAATTTCTTTAGATTTAGTTTATAATTCATACTTTGGGCTGAATAAAAGCCAGTTAAATGTCTTTGGAAAGATTTCTTGCTTTATGTTTAAAGGATTACTGAAAATAAATTTTGATTTAATTGTTGTTGCGAACGAGTCTATGAGTCATGATGTTGTATTGGGCAGGGATTTTATGAATGCGATGGATTTGAATATTAGTCCAGACACCCTTGCAACTATTGAATTAAAAAAATACATGTAACGAATACGGGGTTATCGAGAGACAATGAAAATGTTGGTTCGGCATACAAAGCAGAAAATCCATGCGTTTCGAAACTTTTTTCGAATGAAGCTGATCAGCGAGCAGCGGCCCCTATAAAAATCGAAAGAGAAGCAAAGAAAATATCAAATCAAGCGGTTAGCAATATTAATGATAGGCAACATAGATGTAAAAGAATGTTACGGGATGAGACGTTTAATGGAAAATTAATATGGGATGAGACTGTAGAAGACCAATTGTTACGTAATAAAACTGCTAGTAGGGGACTGTTAGATGCTAAGACTGTTAAAGATCAAATTTTGGGAAATAAAACTGTTGCTGAACAATTGTCAGGCGTTGAATCGGTTAATGAGCTAATTTATGAAACTGACAATGCAGGCGTATCCATGATGGATAGCTTTGAGAAAGATATGTTTAATATTAACATAGTCGACAATCAAATGACATATTACAACTGCGGTGAAAATGTAGATCTCGAAACAAAGGGTCGGTTTGTCAAAATGTTCGAAGAGACTTATTTAAATGCAAAAAAGCCAAATTTCCCGATGATTAGGAGTGAAATGAAAATTTGTTTGGAAAACTCAAAACCTTTTAGATGTTCACCAAGACGGCTCTCTTACTCAGAGAAAGAAAAACTCCAGGCTATGCTAGACGAGTATTTAGAAGGGGGAATAATCCGGCCAAGCGAATCGGAGTATGCTTCACCCATTGTGTTAGTTAAAAAGAAGACGGGCGATTTACGACTATGCATTGATTTTCGTAAATTGAATAAAGTGCTAATAAAGGACAACTATCCAATGCCATTAATAGACGATTTATTAGATAGGCTCCTAAATAAAACCATATTTTCAAAATTAGACCTTAAAAATGGGTATTTCCATGTTTTTGTTAATGAAGAATCGGTGAAATATACATCCTTTGTAACTCCACTAGGCCAATATGAGTTCCTAAGAATGCCAATTGGGATAAAAATTGCGTCAGCCGTATTCCAGCGTTTTGTGAACAAGATTTTTGATGATTTAATTAGAGAAAGTAAGGTTATTGTCTATATGTATGACATCATGGTGGCGAGCACAAACATGAAGGAACACTTAAATACACTGGGGGAAGTTTTCACACGATTAGTTCAAAACAAACTAGAATTACGGATGGATAAATGCGAGCTTATGCAATCGAGTATAAAATATTTAGGCTTTCGCATATCAAGTAAAGGCATAAGGGCAGAAGACAAAGGTTTAGATGCGATTAAAAATTTTCCAGTTCCTGATAAGGTGCAAACAGTCCAAAGCTTTCTTGGCTTGTGTTCATACTTCAGGCGTTTTATTAAAGATTTCTCGGTTTTAGCCAAGCCACTATATGATCTTTTGAGAAAAGACAAACCATTTTCATTCGAGGAAAAAGAATTAGAATGTTTTTTAACTCTTAAGGACAAATTAATGCAGTCTCCTATTTTAGCCATTTACGATTATAAGGAGGAAGTCGAATTACATTGCGATGGAAGTTCATTAGGTTTCGGAGCGGTACTCATGCAGAAAAAAAGCGATGGGAAAACGCATCCAATATTTTATTTTTCTAAGCGTACAACAGAGACAGAGTCAAAATATCATAGTTTCGAGCTAGAGACATTGGCGATAATTTATGCCATACGGAGATTTCGAATTTACCTACACGGGAAACGATTCAAAATAGTCACAGATTGCAACTCTTTAACCCTTACATTGAACAAGGTTGATTTAAATCCTAGAATCGCTAGATGGGCATTGGAACTGCAAAACTACGATTATGAGCTAGTTCACAGAGCCGGGAGTAGAATGCAACATGTAGACGCGTTAAGCAGATGCACAAATATTTTGGTAGTGGAGACAAATAGTTTTGAGGACAATCTTGTTATCTGTCAAGCAAGAGACCCAAAAATACAAACGATTAAAAAAATTTTAGAGAAAAATGAGCACAAAATGTACGAGATGAGAAACGGGATTGTTTATAGGAAAACAAACGACGATAGGTTACTCTTTTACGTACCGGGAGATATGGAAAGCCATGTACTGCACAAATATCATAATGAACTGGGCCATATTGGCAGGGACAAAATGATGGACATTATTTCGAGAAGTTATTGGTTCGCAAATCTTAAGGAAAAGTGCAGCAATCATATTGAAAATTGTCTGAAGTGTGTGGCATTTTCGCCAAAGAGTGGAAAAACGGAGGGACTTTTACATAGCATACCAAAAGGGGATAAACCATTCCAGTTAATACATATTGATCATTACGGACCAGTAGCTACAGGCAGGGCAAATAAACATATTTTCTTGATTGTAGATGGGTTCACGAAATTCGTTAGACTATACACAACGAAAACAACGAATACAAAAGAGGTCATGAAAGCGTTAAGAGATTATTTTAGAGCATATAGCAGACCGAAATGCATAGTTTCTGACAGGGGTAGTTGTTTTACGTCCAAAGAGTTTGAAGAGTTTCTGACTGGTTTGAATATTAAACATATTATGATAGCGACTGGATCTCCACAGGCAAATGGACAAGTTGAACGGATAAACAGGAGTTTAGGTCCAATGATTTCGAAGTTGACTGAACCAGATAAGGGCAGACATTGGGACTCAGTAGTCGAACAAGTTGAATACTCCCTTAACAACACACTCCATCGTAGCATTAAACAGATTCCAAGTAAGGTATTGTTCGGCGTAGAGCAGAAAGGTGATATATTAGACGAGCTCAGAGAAAAGTTGGAAGAAGTTAACAATACGGTTTATAAAGGCAGTTCCAAAAGAATCAGAAATGAAGTTAAAGAAACCCAAAAACGTTCACAGTCGTACAATGAATTATATTATAACAAGTCGAAGAGAAAACCGCGAAGCTATAAAAAGGGAGACTACGTAATGGTAAAAAATTTCGATTGCACGGTAGGGGCTGCTAGAAAGCTGATTCCCAAAAACAAAGGACCATATGAAATAGCAAAAGTGTTGCGAAACGACAGGTTTCTGTTAAAAGATGTAGAGAATTTTCAAGTTTCTCGAAACCCATACAAGGGTGTTTGGAGTGTTCAAAACATACGACACTGGATAGGGAAAAGAAAATAATTTAAGAATATTGTATAATATCGTCAATAAATTTAGACATTAAGACACATATTGTAAAATTTAGATATAAGAAAATTCTGAAATTGTACATAAATTTAAGAAAATGTAACACACCGGGATCAGGAGATCCGGCTGTCAGGATGGCCGAGTTGTAGTAGGATAAGTAGATACATCAGAACTCTGGCAACCCTATCAGCTGTTTTCCCGATCTCGCTGTACCCTGTAGCTCGAGCAATTCGCTCGAGCTCAGTCTCTGACGAGTCACCGAATAAAGAAGACGTCTTTTGTAATTGTGCAGTGTTGTGTTCTCTACTACGTTTTGCCTTCCACAGTAAAGTTCTCAAACTTTTATGTAAGGCATACATCATACAGTAATGACCGCAGGTATTTAAAAAATATCCCTGGATTTGTTGTTTGTTATATTTAAATTTGTCACAATTATTTTTTAAAAACTTTACAAAATCATTATTTTCAGGATACTGACCTTATGAATCGAAAAACTCTCCTTGTTTGTTATTATCAAAGTAAAATGCAACCCAGTGAGCACCAGGTTTATTTGAAGGATCAGTGTTGGCTACAATTAGTGATGGCCTTTTCAGTATTTGTTTTGGTAGCTTATTTGATGGATAAACTCCTCCAAATATATGTCTTGTTGATGAGTTTACTTTTA